TACAATATCGTTGCCTACTCGATTAAAAAGAATAGAGCTATTTTTAGGGTTTTTTTCCGCATTATTCAATTTTTCTTGCCGTAAGAACCATCCTTGGACATGAACAAACATTTTTAAAAAGAAGAATTGGTCAAATTGGTCCAGGCGTTGTTTGAGTTATGCGCTTACCAACACATTTTGCGATCCATTTTTATATATAAGAAGATATATATATATATATATATATATATATAATATAAATTTAGAAATATGAACAAACAGCACTCTTTTTTGCACTGATTTATTAATGTTTTTAATATTAATTTTACAAACGTTTCGAGACCAGGTTTGTCTCATCATCAGTGTATTATAATTTAAAATCTAAAATATGAAAACATCTAAAATCTAAGTCTGAAAAGATTTTTATATTTTAGATTTCAAATTATAATTTATTTTTTTCAATTTTGGTGTCAAACGAATCAAAATAATAAGAAGCGTCGTAAAACAAAAAAAAAACTGAACTGGATTTTCTGGCAAAAACTTTTCCTCTGGGATCTATACAAGTTTCAATAATGTGTAACAGATGTTTCTAAATTTGAAGTTTGAACTTTTGAATACTTACAATATGCTTGAACAATTTATCAATACTTTTAATGATTTTCCATATTATATCCAAAAATTTAACTAGCAATGTATATTTAGAACAAAATCAATTATTCGGTCGTTAAACACAGCCCAGACCTTGACACATTTCGTCTTCTATCAAATTATTATTATATCATTTGTGCAAATCTTACAAATTATAGGTAAAACCGTGTAAGTAGACAATTAATGTCAATGTCTAGTAAAATAATCATTGCCGTTGAATAAAAATTTGGAATAATTTGTCAAAATATATTATGACAACATACCACTAAACATAATTAGTGTCTAAATTATCTAAAAATGATCCTTCTACATCCTCTTGTTGAATGCCAATCAATGTCATTTGTTGAATATAGCAAGGTGTAAGTGGCATTTTGCCTTAAGGCAAGTTGCATGAACCTACCTATGTGTAATGGATAAAAGAAATTTGAAATTTTAACGTATCCTATTATTAACTTCCTGTAGGGAAAGTTATAGTAGTAGCAAAAAAATCGAAAATGAAATTTTTTATATATCTTTACGTTTCAAAACCTACTGAACATTTTGGCATATCTTAGAAAAAATGGATGTATGTGTGTGTGCGGATACAAATTTTCGTCGACGATTTCGGGAACACGGATGAAGAGATTTGAATAATTCAGAAAACATTCGATTTGTATTGATAAGGAGATGTGCTGATTAGTTTTTGGCGAAGGCAGGTCTAGCCGTTCCGAAGATATGGGGCAAAAAGTGCCAAAAACAGTAACTCAGTTT